GTGGCACATGCCTTTAATTCCAGCACTTGGGGGGCAGAGACAGAAAGCTCTCTGTGCATTTGAGGCCAGATTGGCCTACAGGTCGAGTTTCAAGACAGCCAGGCCTGTTAAGCAGAGAAACCCTGCCTCCCTCATTCCCCCCAAATTCATCAGACTATAATCACACTGGAACACAATTTTGGGTACCCTGAATCAGTATTCCATGGTTATCCATATTTGGCTCCTGAATAAGCTATCTCTTATCACCTTTGAGGTGAAGTTTGTTTCTTTACAGTGACAAAGGTCATAGGACACTCCTCACAGTAGGGACAACCAGATTCAGCTGCTGGTGCGAAAGGCGGTTGTGAGACAGAGGCAGGCAGGTCTCTGAGTTCAAGGCCAGCCTGGTCTGCAGAGCAAGTTCCAGGGCAGCCAGGACTGTTACACAGAGAAACCGAGTCTTGAAATACACATACACACAAAACTATTTTCTGGGGCAGACCCAGGACCAGGACGTTAGAATGAAGCTCTAGATACATAAGAGAACATCTATAGGTCTAGTGTGACCTTTGGATGCAGCTATTTTCATCAGTTGCATTTCAGGTACGGCACATACATGAACTGGCTGTAGTACACAAAGTTACCATTATAACCACAAACTACCTAATATTCCGTCAGCTTGAAGGGAAAGGCTGCTACTCCACAGCCTCACCACAAGGTGGCAAGGATGGCCAAGGTAAGGAAAAGCTTCAGCAAAACTAGGTCCGAAAATGAAAAGAATTACAACCTCAGTGTCCGCTATCAAATTTCAACTGCATACATTTTAAGGACTTAACCCATAAGACCTAATTCAAGTAGGTGGGATGAGACGGGAGGGAGGGGCTGAAGCGGAGGAAATCGAGGTTGTCAAATCTATTCAGTAGGAGTCTTAATCAAATCTTTACCCAGAGGAGCCAAGAAAGGCCAAACACAGAAAGAGCAAAGCTGTATAAGGTGTTTGAGCACACACACACACACACACACACACGTAAGTGCATATACATTTTGCTGCATCTTTATTTTACTTGCTTTTTATATTTTGATGTTTCAACGCCCACAGGGATGACCCTTCCTTCCTTCCTTTGCTAGTATTATTACTACCTCTTAAATGTCTTTTTTGTTTGTTTGTTTAAAACACACTGGAAATGCTATATTAAAACCCAATAGCATCCCTCCAACCTAAGCTGTGGTTTCTTTTGTGAAGTACACAGCCGTTACTCGGGCTTCTGTGAAATTTAGAACTCTCAGGATGGCAGGGGACATTATCAAGGACATAGGCTTTTCCCCCTCCTCCCCCCGCACATCAGATACCACTGACAATCCTAGCTATCAGACCTTAGTCACACGGGACACAAACTAAATCCGCATCTCCCTTGACATGAAAGAGAACCGTAAGGATGCTCACAGCCTCAGAGAAAGGGAAAGGAAAGTTGTTACCTCCAACTCATAGGTAACAGGCAGGACCTTGAACCTTACAGCATTTTGCTTCATCTCTGTTTCCATCACACGAGAATAAATACAGCCACACTTCCCAAATTCACTATCAGAAGGACTGAAAGTTGGAGCACTCGAAATTGTCTCTAAAGCACCTTAGGCCTCACGATCATCAGGGAAATGAGAATTAATCACAATGCAGCAATTAAGATGCTTGCAGGTACTCAGTGTTGCTAACAAAGACACAGGGCAACTGGGATACTGGTGGGAAGACAAAGGGGTCCAGACAGTTTGAGAAATGTTTCGGCAGTGACCTAAAAATTGAACTTACTTTAAGTGCAATTAAATATGATTAAAAATAAATCATACATCTCACTGTAACATGTTTACAAGATAATGAAAAACTATGTCTAATACATCAATGTACAGAGATACTTTACAAGTTTAGGCATAGAAACCCAAACCCAGAGACAACCAAAAGGCCTGTCAAAGGGGAAAAAGAAAAGCCAGCAGGTGCATCTCCATACTGAACTAGTGCTCAACTTCGAGGGAGGACTCTCCAGCATGTTACATTTAAAATCATTGTATGTATGAAAGAAACACACACACAAGCAATGGTCTATATGAAGTGTTCTTTGTTCGTTTTCGATTTTTGAGACAGAGTTTCTCAGGAGCTATGGAGCCAGTCCTGGAACTCGCTCTGTAGACCAGGCTGGCATCGAACTCACAGAGATCTGCTTGCCTCTGCCTCCCAAGCACTGGGATTAAAGGTGTGTATCACTACAATCCCCTCATATTTTTTATTTATATAAAGTACCAAAATTGAACTAATCCTTAGTGACAACGTGCAAATCAAAGGACCGGGATTCTATCTCAGCAGGGGAACATTTGCTTAATGTGTGCAAGGCTCTGGGTTCAATTCCCAGCACCACAGTGATGGGAGATGTCATTCTGTAAATATGTTTCTCATACTGGTTAATGAATAAAGCACTGTTGGCCAATAGGAAAGCAAGACAGGTGGGACTAGGACACAAGGAGAATTCCAGAAGTAGTAGGGGTAAGTCAACATGTAGAGACTTGAGAGAACAGAAGTCCAGGGCCCTCTCTCTGGTAAGATAAGACCACGTGGAAATACTTAGATGAATAGAAATGGGTTAATATTTAAGATAGAGCTAGCCAATAAGAAATGCTACTAACAGGCCACAGCTTTATATCTAATACAGTGTCTCTTGTGTGTTATTTGGGTCTGGTGCAGCAGAGGAACCAGACCGGTAGGAAAACTAGCTCGTAACACCACAGGGTGAGGCATGAGCTACAGAGGGGCATAGAGGACGTTTTAGGGGTGATGGAGATGCTGTGTGGTTGCTTGTGGCAGGGATTTCATGGTACATCCCTCCCTCAGCAAATAATTGATCTTTGAATTGTCATCCTAAAGCTGTAGTTTGTAGTGTCTAGACAGAGCTGATTTGAAAATGTTGTCAGGGTGTTCTAAAATAATGCTTCCTTTCTCTTTCTGTTAAAAAAAATGTTCCTCAAGCAAGCACTAACAAAATTATGTCACATATTTGAGATCCTCAAGTATTAGTTACAAATTCAGAAAACCAGATGGATTACTTTATTTTCCCACTAGATGGCAGCACAAACACAAAATGCTCCTACAATAACGGAAAAACTTAAATGTAAAATTCAGTGAGTGGGCGACTAAATTTAAGATGTAAGAATGAGGCAATTATATCCCATGCAAAGGTGTGTGTATTTAACTGAAACTTTTAAGGAACACATACTTAACTGCTCTATTTTATATGAAATTATTTCTAAACTGGGTTTTGGTGGCTCATTCCTGAAACCCTACAGTGCTGGAGGCTGAAGATGAATAATCAACTCTAATTTGATGTTATCCTGACCTGTCTACCATGTTTCAGACCAGCCTGGGCTACATAGTGAGGCCATGTCTCTATCAACATATAAGTTGACAGACAGGCATGGTGATGTATACCTCTAATCCAAGAACTTAAGAGCTGGAGGCAGGAGGGTCAGTTCAGGGCTGGCCCCAGCTATCTAGTAGGTTCTCTGCCAGCCTAGGGTATACAAAACCCTGTCTGAAAACCAAATAAAACAAAACCAGCCTGCCAATAAATAAGACGTGTTCAACATCTGTTGACTGAACAAGTGAGTGATGAGGAAGGACTCTTGACTCTGTCTGAGAGATGGTACCAGAGGAAAATCTTAGGCCTCGGTGGGAAGCTAGGCATTGGTCACAACACACTTCACAGGATGATCCTAGGAGGGCAGGGAGTATGAGCTATTTTAGACATCCCTAAATTGAAGGCAAACAGATAGCAAAGTCTGCTTCTGGAATTTTGACTGACTTCAACCTGAAGAAAAAGCAGGCTGCCTTTATTTGGATCAGTTCATTTACTTCATGTAAATTTGTGCTAATTGGCCTCTTTGAACTCATCATAGCTGAGGATACAGCTAAGCAGTGGGGGGGGGGGGATTCCCAGCAAGTATGAGGACCCAGCTCCAATTGTGAGTGGTCTGATCTGGGATCTAAATTCTTAGTCCTCTGCAACAGCAGCAAATGCTCTTAAGGCTGAAGTCCTCTCCAGACCCTCCAACAACCTTGCTGTGAGTTTTAATGAAAAGCCTCTGATAAACTGTGGGAATGTTTTGTAACAGGGTCAATCCTTAAAATGACAGTTGTTAAAAATTAAGCCTAGAGTCAACATGTAGTTCAGTTATTCCATTCCTTGGGGGAGGTAGTGGTGAAGTGTATGTCATACAGCGGGTTGAATAACACACTGGTGGTGAGTCTTGTCTTAGAAGTAGATGAGATGACTTAGACATGTAGTTTTCCAGACCAAGGATCAGCGTTTCTTAGAGTGTGAGTCAAATATGTGATCTAATATATTCCACCAATGATAACCACACACACACACACACACACACACACACACACACCTTTCTTGTTTGTTTTTTGAGGCAGGGTCTCTCTAAGTAGCTCTCTCTATATATCCTGGAACATTCTATATAGACCAGGTTGGCCTTGAACTCACAGAGACCCACCCATCTCTGCCTCCCAAGAGCCAATGCCATGATTCCCCGAACCGTTTTCTTTTCTTCTCATTACCACTGAGTGATTTCAAAATAAATCCTGGACCTTACCTCATTATACTTGTAGCCAGAGAGATAGCCTATGCTAAACACAAAGAACTCGTACTTGAGCATGGGAGAACTGAGCATAGTGAGAATTCACTATAGTCAGGATTCCACTTTCTCATTTGTAGCTCGCAAAAACCCACATTCGAGTTGAACATTTTTGTGAACATACAGTAAGAATGCCCAACATAAAGAGCCACAGGCAAGCAAGGTCAAAGAACCAAGGTTCTTGTCACTGATGAGACAGACTCCTTCAGCCCACATAACTGACTTCCTCAAATTCCACTAAATTAGTGGACTTACTAAAAGGCCCTGGGAAATTGCATCTTTTTAAAAGCGAACGTGAGAAAATACATATAATAAAGTTTTCTGTCTGTGATAAGCAATACCTACGGCAGAAGTGGAGAATCCAAGGGCGTTCGAAGAATAAATTTTCTTTAGAAGCTTCTCTTGGCTGCCAAGGGAGCAGAGTCTCCTCTGGACCAAAAACATGCTAGAAAAGAGAAACAGTGTGTCAGTTACATCACCAGCAATCACGGAGGGAGTCACCTGTGTCAGTTACATCACCACTAGCCTGAAGCAACACAAGCTTACGTAAATATGAATATAGTAAAAGTGTTAAAGTGTTATTTATTTATTGTGAGTTGTAGGAGTGCATGCACAAGACTGCATGCATGGGGGCATGCATGCGAGTGTGGGGGTCACAGGACACCTTGTGGGGAGAACTCAGCTCTCTCTCCTTTAGACATGTAAGTTCTAGATATCCAACTCAGGCTGTCAGGCTTGGCAGCAAGCATATTTACCCACTGAGCCATCTCACCTGCCTGGAACACATTTTTGACAACTAAAGAAACTTCCTTCCCTCCCTTTTGGATTCTCATTCTGTTCTATATCATTAACTTCTGGAATCATCCTAATGCTACTCTTCTTAATCTTATAAACATAGACACTGTGAAGGAAATATACAAGTGATTAGAATCAAAATGGAGTCACCTGTGCCAACCAGAACAAAACAAAGCAGGGAGGTTATAAAGCTACAGTTGTTACAGCTCTGTGCCTATAACAATTAGCACAGAAGACTATCACAGAATTTCATATTCATTATGAAAGTTTTGCCGATAGCTTAGGCTTGCTTCTAACCAGCTCTAAGAACTTAACCCATTTCTTTTAATCTACACTCTTTTACGTGGCTTGGTTACCTTTACTTTGCAATGCCAATGCTGCTTGCTCTGTGTCCTGCTTCCCCACCCTTCTCCTTCCCAGCGTCCTCTGTGCCTGGAAATCCTGCCTAGCTATTGGCTGTTCAGCTTTGTATTAAACCAGTCACAGTGACATATCTTCACACAGGATTAGAGGGCTTCAAAGCAATTTATGTAACCCCCTAGTTGTGTCATTTTAAACTTTCCCTTGTGTGCTGAGCATGGCTGTATATACCTGTAATTCCAGAACTCATTAGAATCAGGCAAGAGAATCATATGTTTGTGGCTAGCCTGTGCTATGAAGCAAGACTGTTTCAAAATACGGAGGGACTGGGATACAGCTCAGTGATAGAGTGCTTGCCTAGTACCGACAAGGTCCCGTGTTTAATACTGGCTCTTAAAACAAAACAAGACCCCTAAATCCACTTGGGTTCCCCATGAATATGCCCATACTTTTCTACAGCACTACCTTCTCCTTGTGTCCTGCTATTCCCAAATAAAGGCTAGTATTTTTGGTAAGTTTTCTCAGACCCATTGATGTCTTATTGAAATTGACAACACTTGCCATTTAAACCTGGATATCTGTAAAGATATTCTAAATTAAATATGTAGTTTTTAGGGCAGGTATGATGGCACACCCCTTTAGTTCCTGTTCATTTATTTCTTTTGAGATAAGGTCTCGTGTAGCCCAGGGTGTCCTTGATCTCTAGCTGTGGATGACCTTAAACTCCCTAGCTGTGGATGACCTTGAACTCGACCCTCTGGATTTCACCTCTCATGGGATTACAGGTCTGTACCATGACCTCTGGATGGCTTTTGCTTTTTAAATACATGTGTTTTTTGCTCCAGTGCAATTAACACTGTATATTGATATTTACTAATAGACTCAATAAATAGATACACTCAGATGTCATGAAGCTGGAAGGGACAAGATAGCCAGCTTTTGATATTTCTCTAAGCACAAAGGTTTGTGAAGAAAGCTAGGAAAATGTGAATCAGAGTGACCCAGCCTGTCTAATCACTGCACACGTCATATAAAACCCAATACATATGGTCAACAGAGAAATCAAACTGCCAGTCTATTTCTCTAAGCACAAAGGTTTGTGAAGAAAGCTAGGAAAATGTGAATCAGAGTGACCCAGCCTGTCTAATCACTGCACACGTCATATAAAACCCAATACATATGGTCAACAGAGAAATCAAACTGCCAGTCTATCCTCTCGTGAGTGGACTGATTCAGAAGAAGACTGTGAGCAGCCTAGAGATTCAAGTATGGTGAAGGCAAAATGCAAACCTCAATGGTAGGCAAAGCATTTAAAACTCAGTTTTAAAACGTGTAACGTTCAGTGCTCTGAACTTACATCCTACCCATCGAGTTACAAACCTGAGGTACACGCACGTAAAGAATAGAGTTTAGTGAGTTTGACAAAGTCAGGATCTTCAGTTTAGCTGCAGACTCAGGCCACCTCTGAAAGGGCTAGTGCTAACAAGCAGGTACCTGTTTGCTTTCACCACACGCCGCACCTGCTAGTCCACTTCCACGATATTTATAAAGTTCACTAATTGCAACATAAGTGCAAAGAGGCATTCAAGGCTATAAGAAGAGAGGAAGCATGGGAAAATTCAAAGTTCATCAGCAGGAGTGAAGAGGCACCATTCAGAAAAGGCTTGAATGCTGTGGCGAAGTGGGATTCGTGTAATCCTAAATTTCGTGTATGGCTGCTTGATGTTGGAATTGGGACACAGCCCACTGGCAAAACTTTTTAACAGATTTACAGCCTGGGCAAGCTTCCCCCAGTGTCACCTGCCCATCAGGTGGTGCTGAGGAGCCCCCAGCTGGAACGTGGAACGGAGCTTGGACCAAACAGTGGCTGGCAGCTCAGATCTGCAGTAATGCTTGGCCCTCAGATACTGCTGATGAAACTGCTTTTGTCTTTTGGAACACTTGGAAAAGATAGACTCACTCTTCGGGTTTAACCGCCCTAGTTTCCTTTTTCAACCTTGAACTGTACGTTACCCGGATGGGGGAGGTAGCTCAAGCCTGTCCTGGGCAAAGCCCTAGCTTCCAACCCAGGCACCAAATAAAACAGAGGTAGTGGTGCACATCTGTAATTCTATCACTGGGGAGATGGAGACAGGAGGATAAAAAACGCAAGATCTCCCTCTGCTACATGATTACTTCGAGAACCAGAGACTGCCTCCAAAAACCAAAAGTCTATCACGGATGAGCTGGAGTCAGCGTTATCCTCTCAAGAATGCATTCTAAATACCTCAAATTACACAATCAAGAGTAAAAGAGACAAGAGAGGACTGGGATCCAGTTATCTCGGAGCCCCCCCTTTTTTTTTCTCCAAAGAAGACAATGTCAACCGCAAGGTTGACCCTGCTGTGGAGGTCCCAAGGAAGTCTTTTAGGGGAGCTTCTCCAGCCCGCCAAATACCCCCTCTGGCTCCTGACTTTGCAAACTCCGCAGGCCCCGGGCCGCGTCACCGCACACCATGTTCCGCGCTGGCTCACCTCACTGTCCAGGTTCGAATGCGCCCCTGGCCTCAGTCTGGAGGTCCCGAGGTGTTGAGGGGCGGGGCGGGGGGGGAGGTCCTAGGAAATATCCACTTTGGGCTCCGGCAGCCCAAAGTGGAGGGTGGAGGGGCGGGGTGGGGGCGGCGTCTGGCTCTGGCCAGGGGATTGGCCCCGGCATCCGGGCTAAGGTTACGGATTGGCAGCGCGTTCTCCAATCCCGCAGCGCACAGTGAGAGTGTGGAGGAAGCAGCCAGCCTGGGAGGACGGGGCGTGGACTCTGATGAGCACCCGGGCCAAAATGGGTGTGTGCGACCGGTTGGGGCGCGACTGATTTGGTTGGGTGGGTAAATCTCGCCTGCGGGTGGATTCGCAGCGGTTCCGGTGAGAGACAGTGGAAGGCACTCGCTCGGTCAGTGTACAAAAGGGTTTGCAGGCTTGTAGGTGTCTGTTTGTCCCATTTGATGGGGCGAGAGGAGGGAGACCGAATCCTTCCTTTGGAAGTGTAAAGTGATGGGCGGAGGCGAGACGGAAGCGGGCAGACACCTAGTAACTGTTAAGAGTCCAGCTTAGAGTTTAGATTTTTTATTCTTGCTTTCAAAGAAGCCGAGGTGTGGAGGGCATAAGAGTGGCCGAACATGGGGATCATGGCTGGAGGACAGAGCAAAAGCAGGCTTTGGTAGGACGCCCTGTCCTTGGCACAAGGAGCCTCTTCCATGTTTTGGCATGATCGTTAATTGAGCTCATGGTAAGCAAGGGCTCAGTGAAGCCCCCGAATTGATGGATCCATTAGTGGGAAGGGAATTTTCATTATAGGTATGAGAGAAATAGCCAGAGGCCTTTGGGAAAGCCAGAGCGGTCAAGGCTACCTCTCAGGGCAGACTGGCAAGGGGTGTGTGTCTCGAGAGCAGAGGGAAGAGCAGGGACAGGGACAACCTAGTGGGTTATAAAGATAACCGGTAGCTGCAGGTGTGTGTGTGTGTGTGTGTGTGTGTGTGTGTGTGTGTGTGTGTGTGTGTGTGACACCCTGTGAATTGGAACAAACTAGAAGTTTAGGGTAGAGGGAGAGGGGGTTTGAGGACCCTGTGGCTTTGGTATGCACCGTAGGTCTCAATAGGTGAGTGCCTCTTCCTAGCAGACAGAAACTTTCACAGCCTCTGGGGACTTCTGAGAGTGAGCTTTGTCTCTCTGCCAGCAATCCTAGTCCAGCTTGAGCTGAGCCAAGGCCTCGTTTTTTGACCAAGTCAGTGGGTCGGTCTATCCATTGTGGTGGGTTCTTGGAGTGTTTCCCTTTGAGGCCAAATCTGTAGTTGGTGTTTCTAGACATTACTATGGTTGGATTGGGAAACACCAGAGTTTATTCTGAAGACTTTAAAGGTTAAGTGGCTGTTCTGTTGCTTTTCTCTTTCTGTTTCTCATATAAAACGATTACAGTAAGCTGCCAGCTTGTTATTTGAAAGCATGGACTGTGCATGAGTACTGTTCTGAGTTTCTGAAGAGTGATGAAATGCTGTGTTCCTTCTTTCTTTGATTTGAGGTTTCCCTGTCAGTCTGAACATCATCTGGCAGCACTCTTGGAGACAACATGGAACCTACAAGTCGAAGTCTTTTGTCTTGTTCTGTTTCTGAGCCAGGATCTCACCTCAAAATCCTTCTGCTTCAGCCTCCTGAGTGCCAAGGCACACAGGCATGCAACACAATGCCCATCGTGCAAGTTCTAAATCATCATTTCCCATCTAGGCTGCGATGATGATATCGGCATTAGATTAAACGTTTCAA